GTGATTGACCATATTTTAAGGTTAGTTTATTGATTTTTTTTTAATTTCCTCCTTAAACTATACCAAGCCACAAAGACGATGCAGTTTTTTTTTTTTTTTTTTTTTTTTTTTTTTTTTTTTTTTTTTTTTCATAGACCATGATATGTATACACTTTGAATTGCATTTATATGAATGGTTTTAAATGATGATAATTTTAGTGGATTAGATATGTTTCAAGGCAAAGTTAAATCTAAATGTAATATATATATATATATATATATATATATATATATATATATATATATATATATATATATATATATATATATATATATATATGGAGATGATCAAATGAGAAGACTTAAAAGGTTGATAACGCGAGAACAATTCTGGACCAATCAATATATAAGGGTATACTAGTAATTGTATATTTTAATTAAATTCAAATAAAATAAAATTCAATCAAATTCCCTGGAATTTAGGATCAGTTACCAAAAAAGAAATAAATATTCAATTTTTTATTTTTCTTATTAATGGAATATAAAAAACATTTTTATCAAAATTTATTTGAAAATTTAAAAAATTCTTTAAAAAATCAAATATTTTTCTCCTATTTCACGTTTATTTTTTATTTATTTTATTTTATTTATTTATTTATTTTTTTGTGTGTGTTCAAAAAAATGAATAGAAATCGAACACCAAATTAGTACATTTGTATTCATAAATGATTTTTTTTTCAAGAAACCTGATACTACTCCAATCACAAATAAATACACATCAATTTACAAGTAATCCAATTTCTTCTTTTAATTAGTTGAAAATAAAACAGATTGTAAAAATTATCAATTTTCCACAAAAAGAATACCTCTAATCATAAATAAATGTACTCATTAACACATGCTTACACTGTTATTCACAAATGAATACACTACTATTAACAAATAAGTACCTTGTTATTCATAATTGAATAAATGAATACTTCTAATCATAAATAAATACATTCATTCAATGTTATTCACAAATGAATATACTGCTATTCACACATGAATGCACTGTTATTCATTCACTATTATTCACACATGAATGCACTGCTATTCACAGATAAATACAATTTTTCATTCTTCTATTTCCTCTCACACTCCTTTATTTTTGTCCTGTCTTCGAGGTTCAACAAAAACACCCCCACTAGAGGTGTTTGCTAGTGGCTTCCGGCTAGCCAAGGGCAACAACCCCTTCCATTTTCTCCCACTGTTTTATGACACACCAAGCAAACCAAACACCCCCTGTTGTCGTTTTCTTTTTGCTTCCTCCCCTCTCATCGACAGTAACTGGAACTAGAAAACGAAGTGGTGAAGAGGTTGCTAGAATAGCCCCTGCCACTCCACTACTGCGATGAACCACCAAATCGGTGGAGGTGCTCCATATTGTTCTTTCTTTGCTCCTGAAACAATTTCATACTTCATCATTTTGTGTTCTTGATAGAAAACCCCAAAATCAGAATTAAATACAATTAACAATCAATTAAATGAAGCAAATTTAGTAAATGAAGAGACTGAACAAAATACAGAATACATATGAATTTCTATAATTGTAATTATATTCATAAATGAACACACTTTTGATGATGTAAATCAATAGAACGAAAATTAGATGAAAAGGTTGAAGGGAGTGTAAGGTTACCTTTGAGCTTAATGGAAAGGTTTTTTTCCTAATTTTAGTAGTTGGGGAGGGTGAACCGAAAGTCGATGTCATATCGATGAAGGCATGTGGGATCTTATTGCTCCAATGGGAAGATATATCGAGTATACAGAAGTTGATTAGGCAGTCATATCCTTCAACATGAAAAACATGGAACTTCTATACATAACCAATTGTTCTAAACCCAATTCATGGAAAATGATTACAATGTCAAAAAGTGTATTCAATACAGGGCAGAATAGAGTAGTCACACTTGAGAAGAATTACAAAACCCTAAGAATAAAATACTCAAGAGGGAGAACACTGCACGCTGTTTTGCCTTGTAAATATGTAACTGTTTCCACTTGGTTTAATCCTTTGAACTAATATCTAAGGATATTGAATACCATAATTACTGAACCTAGATCATGCTACAACATTAGTAAAGATAGACGAGTAAATGAACATCCCAGTTGAGCAAGTAGATATAATTTCACAACTTGGCTCCCTGAGAATCTAATTGAAGATCCAGCAAAGCTTCGGTATAATGTCTATGTCATGAACTCGTTGAAATTAACAGATATATAGTAAAACAAAATCTTAACGAAGGCACTTAATGAAGTCTCAGGCACACGGAATTGAAACAGATAAAAACTGAAGCACCGATCTTTCTTCAAACAGAACCATTACCAGTCCCAAACTCGTTCATTTTTCATTCCAACACTTCGAACCGGACAAGCATCAGTTTCTCGAAGCAAATACCTTCCATTTTATTTCGTTTCAGATCTATCAACTGAATCGATTTAATACCATAACCATTCGAATCTCAACCACAACATAAACAGACATACATACGTAATACAAAAAGGTAGGGTTTCGAATACCTGGCGGAAAATCAAAATATACAGATCAAACAAGTCCAGTCAACCCAAACTTTGGCGAACTATTTGATGGGTTTTGGACATAAGACATCCTATGTGCTCATACAAACCCTAAAGCTTGGATCTAGGTTTCTCTATTGTACATGCAAGTTATCCAAGACTATAAACCCTAATTCTAGCATACATATAATCATATTAACATGAGAATACGTTTATAGTGTTACCTTGATTGTTATGCAGCAATAACAATCCCAAATCTCCTTGTATTGACTTTGGAAGGCTTAGAGTCACAAGTGTCACTCCTCTAATGGTTCACAAACACCATAAGCAAGAGGATGAAGAGGAGAGAGGTTGGAGGCTACCAAAAACGTGTAGAAACCCTAACAAGAATCTTAGCCACGTTTTTTAGCCTTAAGGGGTCTTTATATAGTTGGGCTATTAGGGTTATCTAACAAGGAAACCCTAATTTGGATGCTTAAGCCTTTAGCAACCCATAGACTCCTTTTAATCAAGCCCTTGGACGATTTCCTTATGGGCTTCCCTATAGAATTCGTCCAACCCTTGATACAAGGCAATCCATGACCCAAATTGCAATTATCTTATAATCACAATTCCAGTCCCTTAATTTTAATTAATCTCTTTTAGTCACAAAACTAATTACTAACTAATATTAATTAAACAATATGATTTCTCCTTCAATATATTATTCTCATAATATATTAATAAATCATATTTAATCCTTTCTCTCCATAATTCATCCTATCAAGTTGCTTTGGTGAAGGCAACCCAAACGGACCATGCACCATCGGGTCAAGTACATACCAAAATAGTTATGGACTTAGACACTAATCCAACAGTCTCCCACTTGGATAAGTTTAATAACTATTTTGCGTATGACTTCAGATCCTGATCTGCAATCGTAGCTTTCCAAAGCCGCTGTCAACTCTGATCACATCAGATACGCGTGTCCTTAGATAAGGGATCATATATTCCTCCATTCTAGATATCGTATGAGATATGATTTCAAATCATTCTCTTTGTACTACTTCTCGATTTCGGATTTATGACGACTGACTAATTGAACAAATCAAATTAGCCCTAGCCCGGCTGAGCATTTACGTTTGTCATCACTAAACCATCGAGGGGCCCAAAGATATCCCTTTTATCCTACCTTGGATAAAAGGAATGGATAAACTTTGATACAATGCTTGCTTGCACTCACTAACCAAATCACACACAACAATATGTTTTATAACACCAAGTTACTAGTGCGTTTACATATTATCAATGTGCAACCGATTAGCAAGATACAACTCACACATCTCGGTTTCAAGAATATAAGATGTTATCGTCTCACCAATCACTCGTGATACAATTCATGGAGTGATCCAAGCGAGCGTGGGTTTAGTCCAATGTTCAAATTCATATTCATAAGCACTCATGAATGTTGCAGCAAACATTTGCTTATGTCTAATACTCTTTTAGACAATCCACACACCAATTCACGACAGTCTTCATTCATATCTACTTCTAATATATGAACGACTGTGGCCCGTTTGAATAATTCGATTATTTTTAATAAACTCAATTATTCTGGAAGTCAAAACATGCAAAGTGAAACACAAGAATAATACTAATCCCATATGGCCTCAACCCTTTGAACATAAATAAAACATCTTTTATTTATCACCATATCGATTACTCATTATTTGTCGTTTCGGGTACTCAACTTCTTACTTGAATTATTACACGTGTCCCATGCTCCTAGCATGCACACAATGTTTACCAATGGTTCTTACTATGTTATGTTATATTTATATTATTCTGCAAATATGTATTTTAGATTTGTTTTAACAAACAGATTTGGTATATATAAAAAAAGTTGTGAAAAAAAAACCAGGCTATACCAACGACATATCGTCGGTACAGCTTAGTAACAGAAAAAACGGTTTTAATCTTTCCAGACGACATATCGTCGGTATTACACACACTTTTCTCGACGACATATCGTCGGTATTACACATACTTTTCCTGACGACAAGTCGTCGGTAAAGCTCCCGAATAAAAAAATTTCTTATTTCCTCGAAAATCAATCCCGATGACCCTTTTCCGACGAGTTGTCGTCTGGATTAGTTACTCAATACCGACGACTCGTATCCCGACAACATTTTTTAATTTTACCGACGGATCTATACCGACGACTTTTTATAGATGACATGTCGTCAGTATAAGCTTTACCAACGGCAAGTCGTCGGTACAGGGTCCCTAATTGTCGTTTGTATATGCCTCAATCGTTGTAGTGAATAATAAGAAAAGTCAATTTGTTTAAATATTTCTAGAACACAATACGCTACAACTTTTATGATGGTTTGATGTATCTATAAGGTTTACTTTCTCCCACCATCAGCTCGGCCGCCATCTATGACATCAGTATACATCTTCTACTCCACCCATATACAGCCATGCACTGCCGTGACTCTCTGGGTACCCATAAACCTTTTCTAAATCAACAAATCCGACAAAGACCTCGCCTTCCGCATCTCCTCCTTTTGCCACCATATCCATATACATCTTCACCAATATCAAAAGACATGTCTTCTTCAGGGGTAAGCCTTGAAAATTATTTAATTCCATTGAAAGAGATCAACGGTGCCACCGAAAACTTTAACCAACAGAGATGTATTGGAGGCGGTGGATTTGGTGCAGTCTATAAAGGTCGACACTCTGAAGGGTGGCAAAATGATATGTTCATGCACTAATTAAACTAATTCCCATGTTTTCCTATTTCCATAATTCACCCATAATAGTTGCAATAATCTTCTCTTGTTAGTTAGTCCATCTAATCCACGTTTGCATTTTGATAAGTAGCATTACTTACCATTAGCCACATGATTTGTAGCATTAGTCACGTTGCATGTTTCATTAAATTTAGGAGTTTTTCATTATAAGTATTGTAATTTGGTTGCAAAAGATATCAAGCAGAAAATAGTTCCAAAAACTTCTTGTGTGCGTGTTTCTCCTTCTCCGTACCTTCTTGGAGCTTTACCCACTCAACGAGTTACTATCACAAAACCGTGCAGCTGCTATCAAACGGCTAAGTCGAGATAGCTTCCAAAGAGAACACGAGTTCCGAAACGAGTTAGAGTTGATCTCAAAATTTCACCATGAAAACATCATATCGTTCATTGGATATTGTGATGAAGACAATGAGGTGATTATAGTTTACGAGTATGCCATGAATGGAAGGCTTGATTATCATCTCCAAGACCCACATAAGATGAGTTGCATAACATGGACACAACGCCTGATGATTTGCATAGGAGCAGCAAGAGGACTGAGTTACCATCACTCAGGTCTTGGGGAGCATAATGGAGTAATACAAGAGACGTCAAGTTCTAACATATTGTTAGATAATAATTTGGTTGCAACAGTTTGTGATTTTGGCTTGTCAAAATTTGGTCCAAGAAATCAGAGTGATACCGAAGTTTATACAAGGGTTGCGGGTACACAGTTTTACATGGATCCAGCTTACCATGAAAGTGGTATCCTCAGAAAAGAATCGGATGTGTACTCTTTCGGTGTGGTATTGTTTGAAATCCTGAGTGGGATGTTGGTCTATCATGAAAAGAGTTTTGGAGATGATTGCCAACAAAATCTCATAACTTCTGTTCGGAGATACTATGACAAGGAATCTCATAAGGTAATTGATCCCAATATAAGAGATCAAATTGATATATACTAGTGCTTTTAATGCATTCCAAGAAATTGCATATCAATGCATTAGTTTCAATTTGATGGAATGCCCTACGATGGACAAGGTCATTGAGAGGATTTAGAAAGCGCTAACTATTCAAGTAAGTCTTTTCATTTTGTTCCTTTGAAGACAATAAACACTATTGTGGATTTGTGGATGATACAACATGATAAATTGCCGTAATCCTTTTAGTGGCACCAAAGAATCATCTAAGGTCCTGATTAAATTAAAATTATTTTCGTCTTTTGCTGTTTCTCCAAAAGTTGGAAGGCCATTTTTCTCTATATACTTCGTGTTGCATTTGTCCTGTCCAACTTTCTATTTTAGAATGTTGAGTATGAAATCTCAGTTACATTTATATATCACACTTCTTTTTTGTGTAATAATTAAAATACAAGTATTAATTTAATGTATTGTTTAAATTTCATTGGCGGATACAAAATTTTTGAATACAAACATAAAAAAAGTGTTTATTATTCAATCACCAAACAAGATTATGAAAATTACTAAAAGAACAAAATATTAAGCACTGAAACCTAAATGAGATATTTTCCGATTGATTTAGAGATTTGGATAAAGGGTTAACATAATTACGTTTTTTTTCACATTTTATTGAACTTGTTTGACATTTTCAAAATAGGCAATATAATTGATAATTACGGTAATATTACCCTATTATGAACAGGTCAAACAGGTTTATTAGTCAAATATGTACGAAAAAGACATTGTTACCTAAATATGGACAAAAAGAAAAGTTTATCACCTGTTTTGGTAATATTGCACATGAACCGTCCAAGAGACTATGCCCTGTGATCAGTCACCGATGGTCAATATTGAACAATTAGGTTAGGTTTCGTTTAACCCAGTTCAAGCCTGACTAGTAATGGGCTAAATTATGTTGCTAGGTTTTTAAAGCACATACAACCTAGCCCCTTAGGCATATACAACCTAACACTAACTAGTTGGGCCTAAACTGGTTATCGTTTCCTCATATATCAAGAGCAGACAACCCAATTTTATATCATATCAATGGATCTTATGACTACTTTCACTTATTATAAATAACCTAATATTACTAAAATGGGTAATGAACTTTGGTTTTTTGTCCATATTTAAGTAATCATATTTTTTTCGTAATCATTTGACCATTAAACTTATTTGCTCTCTTTATAATAGGATAATATTATCGCTAATTACAAGTTATATTAATTTATTTTGTAGAGTTCAAACAAGTTTAATGATCAAATGTGTAAAAAAAAAAAAAAACACATGATTAACTTACCTTTGAAGTTCATTAACCCTTGGATAAAAAACAAGCAGTCCGTCATTTAAAGGGGTTACCACGTACAAGTACTAACTGACATATTGTTGACTTATATAGCTATCCTGTTTAGTTTGACGTAGATATGACATTTTATTGAAACCATAGTCACGTACAAATTTGGTTCCCTAAAGACTTGAACAAGAAACTTTATGATGATCTTATCAAGCATATCCAATATAACTAGTTTAACCAGTTTCCAAAATTTTAGTTAACACCAGTCTCCATTTCAAATAGTGTATACACGACGTTTGTTAAATATTTGTTTTATTTTTCCAGACCCACAAACCTTCCGCCTCTACCCATGCAATACGTTCCATGATAGAAAGTGTCGTCCATAAACTAAAGTATTGTGCCAGTCCAGATGAGCAGCTGACTACCGCTAGTGAAATCCTCCTCCTTGCAAAAGGACACGATGACAATTGTGTCGCCATTGTCAAGGCTGGAGCAATCCCTATGCTCTCACACCTACTCACTTTACCAGACACGCTTGCACACGAACATGCATTGAACGCAATTCTTAATCTCTCGATCCGTGAAGAAAACAAATGCATCATAGTCTCTTCTGGGGCTGTGACGGGGATCATTTATGTGTTGCAGGAAGGTAACATGGGAGCATAGGGGAACGCAGCGGCTAACCTTTTTAGCCTCTTTTCAATGGAAAAAAATAGGGTAACCATCGGTTCTGCAGGAGCTATCCCACCTCTTGTGTTGCTGTTGAGTGAACGTACTCAGAGAGGGAAGAAGGACGCAAGCATTGCGTTGTATAATTGATGTATGCATCAGGGTAATAGAATAAGGGCCCTAAAAGCGGGTGTAGTCCCCATATTGATGAAGCTGCTTAGGGAACCATAGGGTGTGTTGAAGGATGAACCCTTAGCCATTCTAGTCATTACTTCAAGCCAACCGGAAGGAAAATTGGCTATAGGTAAAGATGTTGGATTTAATCGGTTGTTTAAGGGTAATTTGATCCATAATTTTCTTTATGCAGAATTTGAATAAGGAAATGTGGGATAAGTTTAATTAACTGATTTTTAATGGGCATGTTAGGTATAAAAATATGGGTCAATCCTTGTACCGGTTCTTTAGGTGGTAGTGGGTTAGTAGATAGCATTTTATTCCTTGTTTTATGTTGCCACATTTGTTTTATCCGTTGCTAGTTTGTAAGCCTATATAAGGCACATCTTTGATTTAATTAAAATACCAAGAAAAGCACCTTCAGTGCATAACGTAAGTTCTGAGTGTGTGTAATTGTGTGTGTTTTCTGAGGGGCCTGAACCAACAATTGGTATCAGAGCTAGGGCACGGGTCGATGTGTTCGACAGGGACGTCGAACCCTATAATGGGGGGTGAAAGTAGGTTAGATCTGATCCCACATCGGCTTGGAAGGAGAACGAAACATCTACTTATAAGGGGTGTGGATACCTTCCTTGTCACAACGCGTTTTAAAGCCGTGAGGGCAGCAGATCCCATAAGAACTCTGCAGTTAAGCGTGCTCGGGTGGGAGTAGTACCGGGATGGGTGACCCCCTGGGAAGTCCTTGTGCCGAGTGGCCCAAAGCGGACAATATTGTGATACGTGCCAAAGGGGGGTGTTACAAATGGTATATAAGTCTCAAAAACTCAGAACTTGCAACTCACGAATATAATGAAAATAAACTTGCATAAGAGAAAAAAGAAACTTTCTAATATGAAGTGAAGAGAGAGTACGAAAGTTGCAGAAGAAAGCTAAATATTCATATTAAACAAGGCCTATATATAGCCTTTTAAAACATCTACTGTGAACAAAAGAAAACTATTAAAAAAATACTAAGCTATGCCACCTAAAGACCAGGTAAATATGAAGACTGCCCAACGTGCACATCCTAAAATCCGGTCAAACCTTTTACCAAGCCTTTTTTTTTATTCAAAGTAAAGTAAGTGTAAATACCTTAACCCATGACACATAAAAACTTGACCCATGACCCATCCAATAAACTATTACTCCAACATTCACCCCTTAATCGCTTATTTCGTTGTTCACAGCAGTGTTGGTTCATCATCCTCGCACCGATTCAAGTTGAGCTCATCTTTCTTCTCCCACATTGGACACTCCGAAATGTAATGTCCAAACTCATTACATTTGTAGCATTTCACGTGACTCTTGTCCCGTTGTACTCGACCTTCTCCTCGACCTTTCTCGGACCCCCGACCTCCACCTCGGCCACGCCCATGGTCTTCCCGATTCGAGTTTCCACAACCACAATGCTCACACCTATGGTCTTTTTCTTTTGTTTTTTCATCAGAATTTGCAAGCAAAAGCTGATTTTGCTCGGGTTGGATCTCCTCAACTTTGATCCTTTCTTCATAAGCTTTAAGTCGACCTACAACATCATCATAACCGATGGTCTTCAAGTCTACAACCTGTTCTATAGAAGCCACCATATGAATAAAACGTTTTGGTAACCCATTAAGAAACTTCTTAACCAATTTTGTTTCTTCCATAACCGATCCAAGTGAGGCGGCTCTAGAAGCATACTCGGACAACTTATTAGCAAAGTTATCTATCACCTCTTGATCCTTCATCTTCAGATTTTCAAACTCTCCCATTAGAGTTTGAAGTCGCGCCTCCCGGATTTGATCCGCACCCAAATGACGGGTTTTGAGAACCTCCCACATCTCCTTTGCGGTTGTGAGATTCCCTATTAACAGTGTCTGCTTCTCGGCTATGGCTTGGAACAAAAGTGCAATTGCTATGTTATTCTTCTTGGCATCCCCATTGACTCCCGGATCGATTGCCTCCCACACCCCATGAACATTGAAGATAGCCCGCATCCTCATAGCCCATACTGTGTAATTTGTTGATGACAATACCGGACATTGAAGAGTCATGGTGTTGCTCTCCTTGACAACAGCCGCTGTTTGATCCTTCGGTGGAGCCATTCTTGCGTGTTACTGCACTACCAAGGTTATATAATCAACTAAAAAACCACTGCTTGAAAGAGCTACCTATAAAACACCTTTTGCTGCCTTTCACCTTCTGTTTTTCACCCTTTGATTAACACCTTCTGGTTGCTCTTGATCCTCCCATGTTGTTCTTCGATCAAACTGGGTTAACAAGCCCGTTGATTTTGGCCGGAATCACGACTCGTCTCCGCTACCCTTTTGATCCCTAGAACAGAAAAGAAAACCACCTAATAATCTGAAATCAGCCCCTCTTCAATCGGTATCAGAGCTTAGGGCTCGTGAAGAGGAAGAAGGCCGTTTTGAGAGTCGAATTCCGAAGGGGAAGAGCCTTTGGGTGCAGAGCTGCCATCACAGCAAAAGCCAGGTGTTTGGCAATGGCATCTTGGAGGTTCGATCCCGGAGATGACAGCAGATGGTTGTTAAGGATGCTTTCTCAATAGAGGCGTGAATAGGGTCAAGACTGCATAAGTGCAGTGTCCATCCTTGATCAGAAACGTTCCCGGTTAAAAAGAACCTGACCAGAAGCGGGGAAGAGAAGCGGAAAGAAATCAGAACATGTGGGTTTTGATTTGGCTTGCTCACAGTAGGTAAAAGAAAATAGAAGAAGCAGGAGCTTGGTTTTCTTGACTGTTGGAAGACGACTCTCCATAGGAACGGGTTAGATCGGAAAAGGTTGGGACTATCACATACAAGACAAAGTGATGATTCCGGCGGTAGGTTTTGGATATGTCACTGGAAAATGGAGAGAGTTACCGAAGTTGCGGGAGAAAACGAAAAGAAAAGATCCGTCAAAGCAGGTGGCTTTGGGTTTGTTTCGTTTTGTAGGTGAAAGAAGACGGTAAAAGCGGGTTGCTTTGTTTTCTTGATCGGTGGAAGACAGCTCTCGTTTCACAGAATTGTTAGGTGAAAACGGATTCTATGTGGTGACAAACAACAGCCGGGTGTGGAAAACTTTGGACGTGACCGAGGTGAAGGTCGGGTGTCCGGAAAAGGTCGGGAGTTGGTGATGACTTTGGATGTGACTGAGGTGGAGGTTGGGTGTCCGGAAAAGGTCAACAATCAAGATAACAAATGGTGTGAACAACCGATTAAGGGGGTGATTGTTGGATTTAATCGGTTGTTTAAGGGTAATTTGATCCATAATTTTCTTTATGCAGAATTTGAATAAGGAAATGTGGGATAAGTTTAATTAACTGATTTTTAATGGGCATGTTAGGTATAAAAATATGGGTCAATCCTTGTACCGGTTCTTTAGGTGGTAGTGGGTTAATAGATAGCATTTTATTCCTTGTTTTATGTTGCCACGTTTGTTTTATCTGTTGCTAGTTTGTAAGCCTATATAAGGCACATCTTTGATTTAATTAAAATACCAAGAAAAGCACCTTCAGTGCATAACGTAAGTTCTGAGTGTGTGTAATTGTGTGTGTTTTCTGAGGGGCCTGAACCAACAAAAGAAGCAGCAGTGCCTATATTGGTTAAGGTAATTGGGAATAGATCCCCTAGGATGAAAGAGAATGCAGCTGCAACTTTAAATGAAATTTGTTCTATAAATCAAAAGTATTTGGTTGAGGCTCGGGAACTTGGAGTTAAGGAGAAACTAATGGATTTGCTACATCATGGTACAGACAGAGGGAGAAGAAAAGTCGGACACTTGCTGGAAAAGATGAGTAGATTAGCAGAGCATCAGAAGCTATTGGCGAGGGCGTGACATATAAACAAGTATAAGCTGACGAATACTTATCATCCCGTTTTGAAATGTATTTCATCTTTTCGGTGGTTGCCTGGTTGGTTTGGTTCCTCCATTATTGAAGGAGGTATACTCCATATTTCTCCTCGTAGGGTTTCCTGAGGAATTCTGTCATGTTCTATCTGTATTCATTGGGTGTTATGACATACTTGTCCAATGGATGTCTCTGCCGGTTGCAACAAACTACCGTTCAAAAAAAAATATAGAAGGAGAAAGATAGCTGACCACACACTACCACTAGCACCTCTTAGGTTCAAATATCAAGAAAGAATCAAGAATCAAATATGAGAGAGAGAAAGAGAGAATGTATTAATTATTGATGAAATGAGAACTAAAATACCCTTCTAATTAACTATTAACAGAATCTCAACTAGTTTTAAATGAAATGGTATGGTTAATGCCCCGTCAAGATGGTAGGCAATAACCGAAACAAAATTATATTTAGTGATATAAACTTTTAGTGGCATATTTATTTTTGTCGCAGTGTATTATAGTTTTAATGGAACTTAATTATTGTGTGTCACTATATTGTTTCTATTTTTATTTTGCTGCTTCTGGTTCCGTCGCCACAAATTTCATATTCATATTCAACTTCTATTTTCCTAATTATCATCAAATTTTTAACTAATTTTATCCGCCACAGAATTGACAATGTCGTTTCCCCTGCCTCACCAAACCCCAAATCTAAAGTATAGAAAACAAGAATGCAAAACAAAATAACCAAAATAAATCTTTGATTAATCGGAAACTAACTCAAAACCGATGTATTACAATCTGTTCTAATAATCACAAACTCGATTACGAACATGTCTATGTAGCCTAACAAACCAACTTGTATTAAACTAGCAAAGTTATAACCAACTTTCCATAAACTAGACTTGCCATAAACTACATTGCTTGGTTTCCAAGTCCTCATCGACATAGGATTCCAAAAAAATCAATCTAAGTTCCCCTACAGTTTCCATTGACTGACGTTAGTCTTTAAGTCGTCCATGTGTTTCCCACCATCATCACTTAGATCCCCTTTTTAAAATCACATTTCATGGTCTTACAATTTTCCCATATAGTCCTGTTATTTCAATAGAAAAGATAAACCTTTTGGTTGTTTTAGGTTTAAGGAAGAGAGTTTCAAATTATTGATGTTTTTGTTGTTTCCTAAAATCTAGAAGTTGTGTTAGGTTTCCTACTAGGAGACAAGAGGTAAAAGTAGCTAAAATCAATTTAGAGTTAAATGTGTGCATCATCGTGTTCCCAGTTGTTGGTTTAAGGTTTATCTTTAGATAATTTTGTATATAATTGTTAATTTTGGGTTCATAATATGTTACAACCTATATCACATCATAAATCACTGCTCATTACCCTCTGACGCTCATCAATCATCCTCTCTCTCTCTCTCTCTCTCTCTCTCTCTCTCTCTCTCTCTCTCTCTCTCTCTCTCTCTTAAACCTCTTTAATCATCTTTCTTCTCTAACATATTTCAGCATTAAGGTCAATCGTCACTGACATCCGGATATCTGAATATCTGGTCCATCTCAAGTCTCGTTATTGTTGTGTTTTGGAGACTCACAACACACAAGGTTTTATATGTATATTTTTTTGTTGATTTGTTTTTGTACTGTCTTGTTGATTTTACTCCTTTGGTTTTAAATCACAATTGTGTTTATATGCCATAAATGTATTGACTTAATGATTTTATTTTGTTATGTTGCAGTAGTTGTTTTGCAACATTACGTAGTGGTTGGTCTTTTAGGCTTGGTTAATCTGGTTAATTATCATCTTTTTATGTTTTTCCTTTTCTTCTGTATTGTTGATATATGTTGCTTTAAACTATAGTAGACAATACATATCATATAGTTTCTGTTCACAATTATTTTATTGTTAATTGGATATAGGAAATTGGAAAAAGAATTAGGATTTATTTTACATACTCATAACACCTTATTTTCACCATTGTCGTAGATTGTAATTATTATAAGATACAAAATAAAGATATTTCATCCCTAAGCCAAAATAATCATCATATACATGCAGGAGATGTCGATACAATATCCGTATGTATGTAAATAGAACAAGTAAATTCGATTTCATACGAAGAAATTTTACTTCTTCAAATTCTCACAATTTAAACCGGTACGATTCTACGTATTATCAAAAGTAAAAATTTTGATAAATTACTTTTTAACATAAGTGATCTAAACGAATGTTGTAGTTGTCGTTAACCCAGGAGTGTGCATATAGACAACATCTAAATCTGACATCATTAGAGGAAGTCATGATTTTTCTAAGATTTGACATAACAGTGTACCAATCCAAAATCGAATTTTAGATTGGTTGATTTTTTAGCCGACAAAATCTAAATAATAATTGATTTGTTCTCGTATTGTCTTGTTGATTTCTATTTTAGGTTAGATTTTACTTCTTTGGTTTTACATCACAAGTGTCTTTATACGCTATAAATTTATTGATTTAATCATTTTATTTTGTTGTGTTGTAGAGTTGTTTTGCAAAATTACATTGGCCGTTGGTCTTTTATGCTTGGTTAATCTAGATAATTAACTTTTTTTTTTTTTTTTTTTTTTTTTTTTGTTTTTCTTTTTCATTTGTATTGTTGATATATGTTGCTTTAAACTATAGTTGACAAAACATATCGTATAGTTTCTTTTCACAATTATTTTACCTTATTTTATTTATTGTCAATTGGCTATAGGAAATTGGAAAAAGAATTAGGATTTATTTTACATAGTTATAACACCTCATTTTCACCATAATCGTAGATTGTAATTATCATAAAATACAAAATAAAGATATTTTAGTCCTAAGCCAAAATAATCTTCATATACATGTAGGAGATGTCGATAAAATATATGTAGATATATAGATCAAGTAAATTTGATTTCATACGAAGAAATTTTATTTCTTCAAACTCTCACGATTTAAACCGGTACAACTCTGCGTATCGTCAAAAGTAAAATTCTTGATAAATTAGTTTTTAGCATAAGTGATCTAAACGAATGTCATAGTAATCGTTAACCCGGGAGTGCGCATATAGATGACGTCTAAATCTGACTTCATTAGAGAAAGTTATTATTTTTCTAATATTAACACACAAAATATGATTTATAAGTAATATAAACGAAAACAAAAACATGCTAGGGTTTATCTATATCAAACATAAGTATTACTAGTAATACTCATCCAATATTGAAATCACCACATAAGTATCACACTCATCTTTACCAAACCGAATTAAAAGGTTATTAACCTCTTATTATAACAAGAAAACACATTAAATGTAAGAAGAATACGCTAGACATAAGTTGAAGCAGCAAACCAACTAGATCAATGTTAAATATCCTCAAAATCTTCTTTAATCCTTGAGCATCTATTCAATTTTGACTTCCTTTGGGTTTCTAAGAGTTAAATTAGTAGCAAATAACCTTAGAGAACCCAATACAACCTCTAAGATTGGACCTAATGACCAAGATTTTATATTTGTGAAAATTTGACCACCAGATTGTGGTTAACCGCCACCATGACATGATCTTCGAGTAAATCATGTAATTGCCACGTCAACATCATGGTTGCAATTCCTCCAACTACCACATCATTGTTAAGGCACCACAATGTGGTCGTTAGACCTTTTCTTCTCTTCTTTTGTTCTTTGCTCCCATTTCCTGCTTCCAGCTCCTCGTATGCTTCCTTTTTGTCCCGAGCAGTCTTTGCAACTATAAAACACAATTTAAAGCATATTAAATATCTTTTGTTCCATATAAAGCATAATTGTAGCAAAAACTATTATATATATATATATATATATATATATATATATATATATATATATATATGTATAGTTAATTATACACATATCAAAATACCCCACACTTGGTTTTTGCATTCCCTCAAGCAAAACTAATTTTATTTGTAAGACCCTTTTCCGAATCGTTTCCTATTTGGGCTCATGTCCCGAAGATTGGTTATCATAAGGCTTAGGCCCCTCGGAAATATGGATGTCAACGGGGGAAATAGGAAGGGGAGTGCATCCCCCACCGCTCCCCAGAAAATTTCCCACTTCCCTTCCCCAACCCCCGCCCTCGAAATGTCCAGCCTTCCTATCCTTGCCCACGCCCCAAAATCACACTTATTAACCCCGTCACTGCCCGTATTCTCCCACGGCCGATTTATTTTGAGCTACCTTTATTTGGGTTAAAAGAAATTGTTTTTTAGGCTAATAGAAGCAATTTTTAGGTAACAAATATTTATTTCTAGCAAAATTTTACATGTTTAAAAAATGCTTTGGCATCATAAAATCCTTATACTAACAACTTAGATACATGTTTTTTGTTGAATTTTGGAAGCTCAAAATCATATTATTATTTATTGTATTTATATAATTAATATATTTAAATATATGTGTAATTTATTAATAGGGGCCCATGGGGTTTCTGGACACAACTGCCTAACCCTGCCTCTTCCCCCGTAATTGAAATGGGGTTTAATCTTGCCCCCACACCAACCCGATATTTTTAATAAATTTCCCCAAACTGAATGGTGTCCCATGAGACTTTTTGACATCCCAACTTTAGAATGGGAGTCTTATACCCCTATAGGTGTAGACAACGTAGATTGGATTACCCGGTAGTTTGGCTTGTGTTTCGGAGCTCAAGGGTATATTGGTAAGTGAAAGTTCGGTCCTTTTATAAAATTTTGGTTTAAGTTCAGAAATTTTTAAGGGAAGGGAGAGTTTATAGAAGTGCAGAGCTTCTCGTTACCTTTTAAGAGATATAAGGATTGTATAAAACGGACATATAACGAAGAAGTTATGGCCTTCAGAATCTTGGTGGTTTAGAGGTAAGCCTAGTACATGGGGCACACATGGAGTACATGGGATGTATTTCGCTGGAGGATTACGGATTCACTCTTGTGTACTACATTTTTATAAGGAATATGCAAGGCATACTCCA